GAAAACATTCTTCACATCAAATTGGTTTATGTCCCAATTGTAATGGGCAGCAAGGGATAACAAAACTCTCACTGTATTCATCTTTGCAACTGGAGCAAATGTTTCTTCATAATCAATGCCATAGGTTTGAGAGTAACCTTTGGCAACTAATCCAGCTTTGTATCTCTCAAGAGTTCCATCAGAATTATATTTCAGGGCATAAACCCATATGCACCATACTGCTTTCTTTCCAGTAGGTCTATCAATAACCTCCCATGTTTTATTTTTCTCCAATGCATTCATCTCTTCTTGCATGGCTTGAGCCCAATTCCCATCTTTCAAGGCTTCATGTACTGATTTTGGGATTGCAATAGAGTCTAGTGCTGAAACAAAGCTTTTGTGCTGCACAGACAGATTAGCAGAGGAAACAAAATGGGAGATATGGTATTGAGTACAAGAGGAACAAGATTTCTTGGGACATGATCTTTTTCCTTTTCTAAGAGCAATGAGTAAATCATCAGAATCAGTAGTAATGGGTAAGTCATCAGAAGTATCATGATCAGAAATATGAGATTCAGGACTTACCAGTGGTTCAGACGATTGAGGTTGCTGCTGAGGCAATGTGGGCTGTGTATCAGTCATAGGAGGATCAGACATAGACACATTGGGAACAGGAACAAGAGGAAGAGACACTGACTCAGGTGAAGGAGTAGACACTGAAGATTCAAATTCAAAGAAGGAAGGTGATGAGTCTTCTAGTGAATTATTCTCCCCCTGAAGATGAGGACCTTGGAAAAAGGACTCAGATTCTTGAAATGTAACATCCATAGAAACAAAAAATTTCCGACTACCAGGGTGATAACACTTGTAGCCCTTCTTATCAGGAGCATATCCAAGGAAGACACATTTAAGAGCCCTAGGATCCAACTTACTGCGATGCTGTTTATGAATATGAACAAAGACAACACACCCAAACACTCGAGGAGGAAGACTTTGCAAAGTTGGAACAGAAGGAAAAAAGAAGTCATGGAGTGAATAGGACTTACATGATCGAGAACCCGAGTGGGTAGACGGTTGATCAAGAACGCTGCAGTAAGAATGGCATCTCCCCAATAGCATTTGGGTACATGTGTTTGAAACAGTAAGGCACGAGCAATTTCAAGAAGGTGACGATTTTTTCTTTCAGCAACCCCATTTTGTTGAGGGGTGTCTACACAAGTAAGTTCATGAATCATACCTTGATTTCGTATAAATTGGGAAAAACTGTGATTAACATATTCAGTACTATTATCTGTTCTTAGTCTCTTGATTTTTCTACCAAATTGGGTCTCAACCATTTTATAAAATTGAAAGAACAGATGTGGTACCTCAGACTTTTCATGCATTAAGTAAACCCAAGTTACACGAGTGCAATCATCAACAAAAAAGAAACAAACTATCTATTTCCAGAAGCATGAGGGACTTTAGAAGGACCCCAAACATCAGAATGAATAAGATCAAAAGGTTCAACACTCTTAGTACTACTAGAAGGAAAAGACACACGATGATGCTTAGCAAACTCACAAACATCACAATGAAAAGACTCAATAGGCTTAGATAAAAACAATGACGAAAATAAAGACTTGAGTAAACCAAATGGAGGATGTACCAAACGCTTATGATGAAGCCAAATCAAAGAATCAGCAGTTGATTGACCATGAGACATCAAGATGTGATTTGTTACTTTATTTGCAGGAGGTTGTGACACCAGATAGTACAGCCCACCTTGCTCTTTAGCACTACCAATCGTCTTCCCCGTGGCGAGATCCTGAAAAACACAATGGGTAGGATAGAAGGTTACAGTACAATTCAAATCTTTTGTAATTTTATGAATAGAAAGAAGATTCGTGGAGAGTTTAGGAACATGAAGAACATCCTTAAGATGTAAGGACTGCTGTAAGTTTATGTCACCAGAACCCGCAACTGATGTATGAGAGCCATCAGCTACGGCTATTGTATGAGTTCCAATGGTGGGATGATAAGAGGTTAAGGAGTCAGCACAACTAGCCATATGATCAGTAGCACCAGAATTAACAACCCAAGAATGTTTAAAATCATTACATGAAGAAATGAAAGAATAAGTTTTGGAGCTCATACCAGTCATAGTCAAAGCACTAGTATCAGATGGCTTACTCATAGAATCAAGAATGGTTCGGAGCCGTTCCAACTCATCTGGACGAAATGCAGGTTGGGTCTTATTAGGTGTAGGAGTTATTTCAGAGGAAGTAAAATGCGCTTGACCACACAACTTTGCCATCTTTTCTAAGACAGATTGCTTTCCATAAAGGCGAAAGCATAAATTCTTGATATGACATGTTCTTTTACAATAAGAACACCATCGATCATCTCTCTTAGGTCTAGAAGAGGTACCATCATAAAATTTTGAAAAAGAACTCCTTTGAGAAGATGCCATACTGCACAGAAAATGGTCAAAGAAAAGCTCCAAGAAGCCAAAAAATCACAAATAAATACCAAACGATGTCCGATCAAAGAGAGGAGCACAGATCTAGTATAACAGAGATCTTCTCGGTCCAAGAGGTCCCCGGAAAAAATCCGGTGGCGGCTGATGGCAGCGAGAGACAAAAAGAATAAAAAGGTTCTTGTTCTAAAGACAATAGGCGCGGAAGCAGAGTCCTCAGGATCGAGAGCTCTGATACCAACTTGAAATAAAAGGGTATTTGAAATATTATTGAATCGTATTTCAATCTGTACATAGGGGTCTCTATTTATAGAGACTTCTTGACCTAATTTTGACCTAATGGGCTTGGCCCAATATACAAGTAACAGACTAAATAAATACAAATAAAGGGCTGACCCAGTTCAAATACCCACTTTGTGAGTGTCTGGGGAAGGGAATACTCTAGGCAGTCTTTCCCCTGCTTTTTGCAGAGAGGCTGATTCGAACCCGCGACCTGACACACCACGGCAAGCAAGCTTACCGCTGAGCCAAGCCGGCCCTTCAAATAAATACAAATAAATGACTACATAATTACTAATAAATGACTACATAATTACTATTTACAACAAATGCAAATAGGATTGAGCATGTTTGTGATGCAACTTCTTAAACAAGAATTGGAAATTTATAGACTAATGGCACATGGTAGGCAAATGATCCAAAAGCAAGTACACTTGTGAAATGCTAGTTTAATGGTAATCAATCATTAATGAATCAATCAGGTACCAAAAACTCAAGTATTTTGACCAACAAAGGTAGTTACTCGGTAGAATTCAATTCAATATTCTAATGCAACCTTTACACTGAACAGTACAAGCAACCTAAGAAATCTAACCATCCTTTGTGTTAAGTGTAGCAACGGCATACAAGTCCTAAACATGAGAACAACAAGCCAGAGTCTCTGTCAAGATCTATATCTCCCTAACATACACTATGTGTCATTACACTATCCTTTATAAAATTCAAAAACTTATAAAATAAAAAATAAATAAAATTATACGTACCTTGTGTAAAGAGAGAGTGCAGACAATGTAACCAGTCACCAAACTTGAAGAATGAAACTAAAAAACTTGAAGGCGAGAATGTCAAGATGGAATCCGAGAATGAAGAATGAAAACAGAACCATTTTTTTCTACCCCGACCCCTTCTTCTAATGTGGTATAGAATGTCACAAAACACGTTAATCTGTGGTTATTCATTTAATGGTTGTAATTACTGACTTCATTTGGCTTTTACTCTCTGTTTTGTTAGGTAGGGCCGTAGGAGTAATCAAGTGGGGCTGAAGACAACAAAATAAAGGGTTTTGAGAATATTATATAAAATAAAACAAAAAAACATTGAGCTAATCAGCATGTTTGAGTAACTACGTCTTTTAATAATAAGCATGAATAATAAAATTCCTTAAAGCACCAAATTAAAGGATGAAAAATTAAAACCACTGAATTGGGATAGAAGATTGACCATTGCTTTGGATGTGGCAAGGGGAGTTGAGTACCTCCACGAGTTGGCCAGTCAAAGCATCATACATAGGGATCTCAACGAGGAAAAGAGTCGATTATAACAAAAATGGCTGGAACTTTTGGATATTTGCCACCTGAATATGCATGTACGTTTCAGTTTTAACTCTCCTTTACCTCACTATATATTTGTGCATGCATTTTTTAATTAGTATACTCCCAACTAAACAAGTAAAGATAGTCAGAGCATGATCAATATATTGGTTTGGTTTGAATATTCTTAGTGTCTTAGTTTCCCCTATAAAATAGCTTTGAAACCTTGTGTTTAATCTTTCTTGGATGGTCAAATAGGTAGGACCGGTCGTACACTGTGTGATTAATGTATGACCGGTCCTACATAGTGTAGTTTGTAAGAGTTTGTAAACAAAAAAATTTGTAAATATAACCTGCCCCTTAATCAAAAAGCACAATTTTATTTCTGTATTCATTTGACAATGTAGAGCAGCGGGTTGCAGACATGAGGGGCTGGGCCAATGGGCCAAGCTAATAAACCCTATACTATTAGGGGGTGTTTGGTTCAAGTTTTTGGAGATGATTACCGGTAATCCTTCTTTGGTAAATGTAATTACCACGTTTGGTAGAAGGAATAAATTACGATTCCCAGATATCCAAGGATTACCGGTAATTTGATTTATAAAGAAAAGTCACTATTCAGATTACCAAAAATAATATGGTAATTCGGAATACCAATCAGAATACCAAGTAAAGGGAAAGCACAACAATAAATTTTGAGACAAAAATACCCCAATACACATAAAAATCTAGACCCTATTTTTATGTATTTGTGTATTCATTACTTTTATGTATTTACTTTTATAAATAAACAAAAAAATTATTTTTTTTATTTTACATAAAATAACTATCTCATATTCTTCTTATATAAAAATTTGTGACACTATTTTTTTTTTAAAATAAATATTAGTCTCTCAACAATAAATGAAAAATAAAAATAAAAATCTGGATAACTAACATGTACAAAAAAATAAAAATGAACAAAACGGCGAAAGCAAGAGAAGCACCTTGACGTTGTTCTATATTGATGGAGGAAGAAAGCACTTCGCACGTGCCCGCAGAGTCCCACACGAGTGACCGCATCAAGCTCAACGTCGGTGGAAAGCTCTTCGAGACCACGCTTTCAACCATCCGGTCCGGCGGTCCAGACTCCCTCCTGTTCGCGCTCTCGAACCGTGGGTCCGACGACCCGAACCCGGTTTTCATAGACCGTGACCCTGAGATCTTTTCGGTTCTCCTCTCCCTCCTCCGCACCAACCACCTGCCCTCCACCGCACGCCGCTTCTCCAAGCAAGAGCTCGCCGACGAGGCCCTCTTCTACGGCATCGACTCCCAGCTCCGCTCCGCCACTTCTCCGCCTCCGTTCTCCGGCATCGACGCCTCCATCGTCGCCTCGATCCGGCCTGCGTCCGAAGGCCTCCCTTCCACCTTCACCGCCGATGACAACGGCTCCGTCTGGATCGCTCACGGCGGTCAGGTCTCCAGCTACGACTCTAACCTCATCCACGCAGGAACCATCCGCACTCACCTCGATGAGATCGACTCAATGTGCAGGGTCTGGCCGGAGATCACAGCGGTTGGATCTGAATCCGACGCCGGACTTCACTTCTACAACTTCTCCGGCAGCCGCCACGTCGGATCAGTCCACTGGATCGATCCGTCGGATCCTCGGATCTTCAAGGCGCGAGTCAACGCGATAACCGCTTCGGAGAATTCCGTTTTCGCATCGTTCGATTGTCCTCACCGGGAGAATTGCATCCTCGAAGTTGATAAGACGAAGATTCAGGTCGTGTCGGAGTTAGGTCGGCGATCGGGGAACCAAGCGAAGCACATGGTTCCGGGGAAGCTGACGTGGGTTCCGGCGACCGGCGTTCTCGTCGGAAGCGCGGTCGCCGGCGGGGCGTTCGGGTACTCAGGGTACATTCGGTTGTGGGACCCGAGGTGCGGTGAGGTGGTTTGGGAGACGAACGAGCCTGGTGCGGGTCGGAGCAGTAGGTTCGGTGATTCATTTGCGGCTATGGATGTTGATGTGGAAGGGTTGTTACTATTCAAGCTGTGTTCAAAGTCAGGGGATTTGGCTATGGCTGATATGAGGCGTTTGGGGGATGATCCTTGGGTTTATTTGAAGGAGAAGAACCCTAGCTTGTTGAGTAATGGTGTGGAGGGTAGCAACAGTGTGGTGCATTGTTACAAGGGGCAAGTGTTTATTGGGAGAGGTGGAGAATTGGAGGTTTGGTCAAGGTTGCAAGAGGTTGCAAGTGGTGATGGTGAGAGAGGAAGTGAGGGATTTTATAGGAGGAATTTTGTGGATAAGAGGGAGGATTCAGAGAGAGGGGTTATCAAGAAGATTGAAGGTGGTGGAGATAGATTGTTTGTTAGTAGAGAAGATGTTGAAGGTATTGAAGTGTGGGAGAGCTCACATTCTCCTGGAGCCATTTCTGTTTTGTGACACAGGAATTGGTAAAAGTTTTGGGTAGGTTTTCTTTATTGTAATATTATTCTTCTTTCATTAAAACTATGGAGATAGTTAAATCTCTGATGTTTGTCAGCAGCACATGAATAACCATAATTTGATGCAGTTTTTTTATCTATACTTTTGTTATTTTGGTTGTATTAGTTTGTATCATTTCCTGCAGTTGTTGTAGTGAAAGCTCTAAGATCATGAATAACCACAATGGGTCTGAAATGTGGTCGCTATGATGTTCATGATCAACTAACCTTTAGGGGCAAGTGCATTTAATGCCTTACTGAACTTTCTTTCTCTTCTATTGTGGTCCTTGTATATCTAACCTAATGTCAGAGAATATGATTTGTGATTGATGATGAAGCACTTTCACGAATGTTTGGAGCTTAGTTTAAAGACCATTACAAGATAGGCTTTTAACAATTACCATAAACATATACGAAAATGTTAGTTGTTTGTTTTGCTCATTTTCTTAATTGATATAATAATATTGAGCTTTATTATTTTATTTGCAACATTTTGTTAACAATTTCGTCTTAACAGATTATTATTATACAACTGTTAAGTCCCACCTTCTAGGAAAAGGTCCTCTTCTTCCATCCATACTCTCCTACTCACCCTTCCACTTTCGTCCTTTCTATTGCAACAGAAACCTCTGTGATGGAAGCCTCAGATCAGTGTGTTTGTTTTAGTTGTGAACTTCACTTTATTCAGAATACGACTTACTTTAGTTCCAAGAATCTCCAACTTAAGCCTTCCATTGCATACATAATTACTAGTAATTTGTCTATATTTGTTGATTGTCATTCCTAACCATTTTATTTGTGGATTTTATCATTCAAATATGTAATTACTAGTAATTTATAATGAGTTGTTGATCAACCTAGTCTATAAGTAGTGCATTGAAAATCTGTCTATTTTTACATTAATTACTTAGAATTAGAATTCGCTATCCTTTTTTGGTGTAGGATGGGCATAGGAACTAGTTTTCAGCACCAGATTTCATTACTACTCACTCATGTTTTGTCAATTAGTTGATTGCTTATTTTCTGGTTATAATACTTTTTTATTTCCTGTCACAAGCTATTGTTTATTGATATGATGCAGATATAAGGACATGAGCATCGCTATCTGCTCTTATTTTCTTTTATGCTCATTATCTGAAGTCTGAACTCAGAGCTTTGCATATGATACCTTTTGGAGAGTTTAGATGCCTCGGACAAAGCCAAATGCAGACAGAGATCTTAATAAATATTTGTAAATCGCGAGGCTAGAAACTTAAAATCCATTGAATTCCAGATAACTCTAAACCTCTTGGTTGCATTAGGAAATAAACTTTTGGCCATCATATGGTCTGTCAAAGTGAATATGAAATGGAAGGTTCACCTATTAAGTATAGAAGGGTTGTTTTACATGCTGAGTCAGCAAGTGATGGGTTGTTACAAAGGGAGTATTCTGGAACTTTTAACAGAAATCAGTTAGATTTTGGAATTGTAGGGAATGAGCTTGTTAAAGTAGGGAAATTGTATTAGAGGAAAGTTAGATTTGGAACTTGAATTTAGGCTGGAACTGGGAGCAAGGAAGCATGGACACTTGTAAAAACAGGGAGAGTCGTGTCCGACCCGCTCCGACACGGTGACACGCTCCGACACGGTGTCGGACACGCGGTCAACTTTTTCCGACGCGTTGACCATTCCGACACGCGAATTTGACCGTATCCGACACGGTCAAATGGCATTTTCGTAATTTTTTTTTAATTTTTTTTAAAAAAAATTATTTTTTTTAAACATTAAAATATATTAATAAAGCTTCCACCTAATCATATCAATTTTATTTTTTTGTCTTTTTTCCCCTTAAGTAGATAAGAGATCATCTCAGCATCATTGTTGTCAATTCCTATCATGCTCTTGTTGTATCTCCTTGTCTCTGATCTCTCTCTCTAATATGATTTGATTTCTTTATCTGATATTATATCTCTCTCTCATCCCAGTTCTTATTTTTTTATTGAAGCTTCTATCTTTATAACGTGTTGATGGGTATTATTAATTTAGTTTCATTTTTTTGTTAAATTATTAAATATTAAATGAAATATACACTATATAAATTAAAAATATTATTTAATATTAAAACGTGTCCTAACGTGTCGAAATTCATAATTTTTTAGAATTGACGTGTTGGAGTATCGTGTCGTGTTGCGTGTCGTATCGGTGCTACGTAGACCGGGAGAGACTAGAGCCTCTCTAAGTGATCTAGGTTTATCGTACATTTTTCTGTCATTTTCATGTAATTTTCCTTCCAATTCCTACTTATGTTTCAGTTTACTAACAGACAGGAGATTTGTATCAGACAATTACCAAATAATTACACTGATTTCCTTCATTTCCTTATAGTAAGATTTTTTTATGCATTTTATTTGCTAAATTGTACATCTTCATGGGTTGCCTTGCAATTTCGTATCTGATAGGGGTGTAAAATTTATGAGATTTTTTTTTATTTTTTGAAAAAATTTCTAGATTTATTTGGCATCAAGTTGAAATTCTTTTATGCTTTTCACCCTCATATTGATGGATATAAATGTTATGAACAGTGGTCTAGGTTATTTACTTAGGTGTTTAGTTAGAGATAAACTAGGAAATTAGATCTGAGTATTGCATATTGTTGAGTTAAGCGAAAATAGTTTTGTTAATTGGTCTATTGGTAAGAGGTCATTTTGAAATTTTACATGGTTTATCCCTTCACCACCCCGTTACTCTTTTGCTGCCCATATTCGTGATTTGAATACCAACAATATAAGCTTACTGTAACAGGTGTACCATGGTACAGGTAAAAAATTTTTTTTATCAAAAAAACATAATTACCAGAGATCTCCAGTAAAAAAAAATTATTTGATTAGATAAAATATTACCGCAAAAATTGAGTGAAATTCCCGGAATCTATATTAGATTGAAGATAAAATATTAATGGGAAACTAGGTTAAAATTATAAAATAACTTTTTACAATATTTTAATTTAGTTCTGTTGTTGCCTAAAGTCATCAAATGAAAAGGATAATTCAGTCATAAAATAATGATGGTTTATATTATAGTTTTACTGTTGCCTAATTTAACTGGTTATCCATCGAATACCACCATCAAAGTTGGATTTCAACACTGTACTTTTGGTTCAAATTTGCATACAAAGCTCAATTGTTAGGCAATTCAGTTAGCTAGGTAAATTTTTGGATACCCTATACCAAACATGGATAACCTATTTATCCATTTTCAGATGCCTAACAAAATTTGAAGATAACCTATACCAAACACACCTTAATAAAGTAAATCATAAGGCTCATGGTTTTAATATATATATATATATATATATATATATATATATATATATATATATATATATAGCGACTTTATTATGGTACGCATATGTCCTGAAAGTTAACGTATACCTTTATAAAGATGCATACTAGAGTATTTACTAAAAAAAAAAAAAGATTTTCCTATTCTAGACTACTATGTGTTTAATGCATTATTACTTAACCTGTCTAGTAATATGAATACTATCTTGTTTTCAATATGGAGTACCTAACACTTTTGAGAGGTACATTTCATCCTTCCTTGTCTCAACTATTTCAATATGCCTTACGTCTCTTTTAAGTTCCCAAAGTTCTGATTGTTCCTCAATTGTCAGATGAGACAAGCCTATGTTGGATGTTGAGTATGCAGGTTCATTGTTACCCCTTTATTCTTGGGAAATGGAAAATCTGTCCTATTTGGAATGCTACGTGGATTATAGATGATAACTACCACCAATTGGATTCCGTCATCGGAACATGGACAATATTGTCCCTTTCTTTCATATAATATACCTGAATGTCACAGAGTCAAAAAAAAATTTCAAACTGTCACGACACCTGTTACAATTAAGTTTTAATTAACTGTTATCCGTTATTTACGTAGTTAGTTAATTATCTGTTGTAAAGTTGTTAGAGGAGTTAGTTATCACTTTGGTGACGTGGATATTAAAGTCAGATAGTATAAGTATCAATTCTTTAGATACTCAATGTAACTTTTGTATTTTTACTCATTTTCAATACAATTCTCAATTTCCTTTCAACTCGTAAGATGGTATCAGAGCTCATTTTTGGGCTCTGGTAATCACATGTCTTCCGCTTATCTTCTTCGCACTCTACTCTCACCCTTTCTTGAAGTTCTTTGCATTTCTTTTGCAGAAACTTGAAATTTTTCTCCGAATCCTCGTTGAATATGGCTAATCAGAATCCACTTCCTGAGTTCCTCACAAATCCTTCACATCCTTTCTTTTTGCACCCGAGTGAGTCACCTTCCATGGCGTTGGTTGCTTCTCCTTTGAACGGGAGAAACTATCACACTTGGCGGAGAGCCATGAGCATGGCTTTAATTTCCAAGAACAAGATCTGTTTTGTTGATGGATCGATCGTTGCACCAGATTTAGCAGATCCTCTTTATCCAACATGGCAGCGATGCAATAATATGGTCCTTTCTTGGATCCATCGCTCGCTTGCAGATCTAATTATTAACTCGATAATGTGGATGGAATGTGCATCAGATGTCTGGAATGATTTGAAGCAGCGTTTTGCTCAATCCAGCATATTCAGAATAGCTGAGATACTTGAAGATATTTTTCGTCTACAACAAACAGATCGTTCAGTTTCTGATTTCTTTACTGAACTCAAGTCAATGTGGGATGAACTTGAAGTCTTGCAGCCTTTACCAGTATGCAGCTGTGTTCCAGCGTGTACTTGTGGTGCAATGGTGGAGGTACGCACGTCAAGGGAAAGAGTTCAAGTCATACGTTTCTTGAAAGGACTCAACGAGCAATTCAACCAAGTTCGCTCACAGATAATGCTCATGGAGCCTTTACCGGATCTGACTAGAGTCTTTTCTCTCATTTCTCAACAGGAACGTCAACTTAACTCAGATATTCACAACGAAGCTTTTACTGAATCGAAAGCTTTTATTTCTAACAGAGTTTTTAATCGAGGTTCTTTTCCTCAAAGAGGCAGAGGTCGTGGTAATTTTGCAGGAAGAGGACGCAACACAAAATTGTGTACGCATTGTGGCAGGACCAACCACACTGTGGATACCTGCTTTGAGAAGCATGGTTATCCTCCAGGTTATAAAATGCGAGAAGCTTCGCGATCTGCTAATGCTGCTATGCAGAATCTGGAGACAGAACCATACTGCAACCAGAACGAAAATCCAGGAGTGATGCTGTCTCAAGATCAGTACCAACGTCTTCTTGGACTTCTTGAGAAAAAAGATGTGACTGAGGAGGTGGTGCATTCCTCCAATCTGGTTCAGACTTCAAATGCATTCGCAGCTCTTGCCAATGACACAGTGATCCCTGATTCTGGTAAGAAATCCTCCTCATGGATTCTGGACACTGGTGCCACAGATCATATTTCATATGATTTATATCATTTCTCTGCCATAAAAAGCATTAAACCGATTCCAATCACATTGCCTAATGGATCGAAAGTTTATGCTACACAGTCTGGGAGTGTTTCTATTTCCCCATTGCTTACTTTACACAATGTGTTATATGTTCCAAGTTTCTCTGTCAACTTGATATCAGTAAGCCAATTACTCCTCTCACTCAATTGTGTACTCACTTTTCGTGCTTCTACTTGTTGGATAAAACAGGTGCCTACTCAGCAGATGATTGGTACAGCTGAGAGGCACAATGGTCTGTTCCTGATGAAGATTACACAACCCAACTACCTTGCAACTCCAAGTGAAAATGGGAAGCAAGAGAAGATTTCATCAGCTTGTTTTAGTAATAAAGAGAATAATAAACCAATTTCAGCCTCTGTATTATGGCACTTTAGATTGGGACACTCTTCAAAGACTGTTTTGAAACACATGTGTAATAAGTTCCCTTACATTGATGACACATATGATCATGCTTGTGATATATGTCAGTATGCACATCAAAAACGTTTACCATATACTAGCAGTGTGAGTAATTCCACTCGTTCTTTTGCCTTGATACATGTAGATATTTGGGGACCCTTTGTTGTTCCATCTATACATGATCATCGATACTTCTTGACAATAGTTGATGATTTTTCACGATTTTCTTGGACTTTCCTCATGCGAACAAAAGCAGAAACTCGTGGTCATTTACAGTCTTTTATTAATATGGTTGAAACTCAATTTGAACAATGTGTTTAAGTCATTCGCTCAGACAATGGAAAAGAATTTATCATGCCTGAGTATTATCTCCAGAAAGGCATATTGCATCAAAGGACTTGTGTGGAAACACCTCAGCAAAATGGCATCACTGAGAGAAAACATCAGCATATCTTGAATGTGGCACGTGCCCTTCTTTTTCAAGCTCATCTTCCACTGCCTTTTTGGTCCTATTGTGTTTTACATGCTGTACACATCATTAACAGGTTATGTACTCCTTTGCTTTCTAACAAAACACCCTTTGACATGCTGTATAAATGTCCTCCTTCTTTTAATCATTTAAAGGTTTTTGGATGTTTGTGTTATAGTAGTACCTTAACCTCTCATCGTTCAAAGTTCTCTCCCAGAGCACGAAAAGGTGTCTTCATAGGATACAAAGAAGGATGCAAAGGATATGTTGTCTTGGATGTCAAATCCAGAGAAATATTTCTGTCAAGGAATGTTGTCTTTCATGAAATGGTGTTTCCCTTCCATGATCAACAAGATATTCAACTCCCAAGACCAAACACATTCCAACCTGACTCCAATGTGCCCACACACCTTGATCCTTTTGAATTTTTAATCAATCAACTACCACAACAAACACAACCACACCATACTCAGCAACCAAATCATCCTCAACCTGATTCACTTCCTATTCGCCGATCAAGCA